GTTTAGTAATTTTACATTATATTAGGGTATATTTGATAGGTCACTCAAAAAGTTTACATCAAACATTGTAAACCGTTCAAATCAAAGTCATTGTATCCACAAGTTTAGTTTATTCAATATTCAATAGGTACCCTCCATTTTAGGCGTTGCCATTAGGCCTATAAATTCCCTCACCAAATCAAGTCTTCTCCTCACTCAACTCTCCCATCCATTTTACAAACCCTAAATTCCCTCCTCCAAAACCCTTCCCTCTCAAAGATGGCAACCCATTTTCCTATCCTTCTACTCGCCATCTTCATAGCCATTGCAACTCACCAAATCCAGGGAAGGCCTTTCAAACCTCAAATGCCTCTCCACTCCTCTCCAAGCGTCGTCGGTTTCGGCCAGTCTGATACCGGTAGCAAAGACGATTTTCGCCCGACAATGCCTGGAAACAGCCCTGGAGTTGGCCATCATTCAGTCAAGAAAAGTGGTGGCGGCGGCGCCCAATCGGAGAACAATATGGAAGGGGTGAAGGATGATGATTCAAGGACCGCCGGCAGCCGCCATGCTCTCCACCGCATTGCTTCAAAACCAAATGCTTAGAATAATAAGAGATAAGAAGTTGTGTTGTTTCTGCCATATTTTGTTTTTGGGTGTGTTGTGGCTTCTTCTTTCTCAGCTTCTTAGTATGGAAGTGAGTGTTTTATGTGTGTGCGCGCTTTTACCTCTTCTAGTGGGTTAAGTTTATGTATTTGTTCTTATGAATATTTCGTGCTATTAAACATTAAATTTTGTTGAACAAGATAGAAACCTTAATTTCATCAAACCTACCAACTTAATATAACCCCCTACACAGTAATGTTACTCATTTATTATTTCATGTAGTTTATTTAGTGAATAAAAAAGTGCCCATAAATTTACTTAGGTATTAAATGCAAGATGCTGATAACATTTTCAAAATATTCATAAATTCATAAACTAATATTTAAAACAACAAATAAAAATTTCATCATAGTCCATAGTAATATTTTTGTCAATATAATATAAAGGAAATATTAAATTTTAAAAACTAAGTAGACCAAGTAAATAAACTATATAAAAAAAATTAGTTTATGTCGAGGTGAACCAAGTTCAACCAGTCAAGAATATTGAAATTACCGTCTTATATTGAAAAAAAAAATCTTATTTATATATTTATTCTTTCTAACAAATTTAACCAACAACATTAAAAAAATATTCATTAAAATTTTTAATTTGAAATCTATACTTGGATGCACGACATCATTTTTGAATGAGCCAAATTTTAGTGGGTATTCTTCGTGCCACATCATTAAAGGTAAGACGCACTTGTACAGAGATAAAGGTAAGGCACACTTGTACAGTGCACTTGAAAAGAGATAAAAGTAAGGCACACTTATGCAGATGATGACGTCATCACAAGCAGAGACTGTGCATGTGTATAGAATAGAAGGCGCACTTGTACAGAGGTAAAGGTAAGACACACTTGTACAACGCACTTGAAAAGAGGTAAAGGTAAGGCACACTTGTGTAGAGAACAACGACATCACAAACAGAGACTTCATGTGCATAGAGTAGATTCATGTGCATAGGATAGAGGCATGTGGATAGTGTAGATTTATATTTAAATGTTGTTATGCGTTCCCTTATTTTAAATTATTTTGTGTTGTTTAGCCAATGCATAATTTCTAGTAACAGGTTGTTATGCATTTTCTTATTTTAAATTATTTTGGGTTGCTTTTAATTTCTCTAAATTTCAGGATTTGGTATTTAAACACGTAATACCATGGCTGTGTTTTTCAAAGAACAGTATGTTTTAAATATTTTCGACATTCATACTATAGATGAAGTTTACTTGTAAGAGTTATATTTCCACATTAGAGACGAGCATGAGACGTTACCAGCAATTCTGAATACATAAACATTTTTAGTATGAAGAAAATAATAATATAAAAATTAGCTAATAAACGTTCGAATTGGGATACCGATAAAAATATGTAGCATAAGAATTATATAATGAAAGACTAATTATATAATGATGTATGCTTATAAAATTTTGATACGGTCGTGCTTATAAAATTTTGATACGGTCGTGGGACAACACAAAGTTGAAGGCAACGACAAGGAATATATTAAGGTACATACAAATATTGAGTACAAATAATTTATATAGAGAGAGAAAAAGGAGGGTACACAACGTGAGGAAATAGTAATAAACACTGAAAAGGGAATATAAAAAAGGTTACCATTTGCGGCAAAGGAAACCCATTAAATATTTGTTAATAAATTAGACATCACGCCTTTTCATATCTCCTTTTCTCTTTCATTTTTTTTCCTTTTAAATTGAATTAATATATTTATTTCAAACATGATCTTAAATGATGCATTTTCTATAGATTTAGTCTTCCACTTGGTAGAGGAATTCAAGTAGCGGGAAAAGTTAAAATTATACGAACAGAGAGTACACGATCTATGTTAGGATTGAATTATTGATCGATTTGGGTAACGAACAACTCTAAGATATAAGGCGAAGTCAACTCTCCTTAAGTGGAGGCAATTGTAATAATAGATCCAATTCACCCATAATCGAGGAGGAGATAGACTGGGAGTCGAAGGGTAAGATCAAAGAGCACCCTAACAAAAGAGTAGAGTTCTACGGTGAGGGCCCTACAATCAAAATTACTTCAACCGACCACCTACCTCCTTCTATTTAGAGGGAGCCATAGAGTATACGAGTTCCCAAGAGAGCAACCCTTCAGGTTGCATTAGACGTAGACTTAGAATCGAAATTAGAGGCGGTAAAGCAGAATATCATCATCAAAGAGCATAGACAACCCCCATATGCCCGCCCTTAAATATTTGTTTGCCATTTAGAATAAATAGGGGGAGTCAAAAGAGTCCATTGAAAAGGGTCTCATGAATGTAGAGATGTGGGTTAACCATAGATTAACTAAAAGCACAATGGTCGACTCTGGAACCACCTACAATTTTATGGCCGAGATCGAAGTCAAATGATTGAACATAAATTGGTATGAGACTCAAGGAAGATGAAAATCCTCTAACTCTATGGCCCTACCTATTTTGGGAGTAGCAAAGAGGGTTGCCCTCAAAGTGACATGTGCTTACTAAGAAAAAGTTTCACCCGCGGTCATGTTTGTTCAAGACGTGATATCCATGGTTGCATACCCGTTGCATATCAAACCACTCATGTCAAGGCGTGTTGTCCATGGTTATATACTCGTTGCATATCAACCCCCTTGTGTTGTACTACTTTACCACGTTCTTTTACAGCTATAATGATGTACAGTTTCTTATCTTTTTTTTTTTTATTAGTATGACACTTTGCGACTAGTAGTTAATTCTTCCTACTCGGAGTTATATGTTGTCTAAGTCGTTGTGTTACTTTTCTTGCATACTAGCTTATAACATTGCTTTCATCATTGCTTTCAACCTTACTTTCAAACTCACCTTCTAAAATCTTTATGCTCAATTTTCTAAAACTTTCTTCTCAAGATGAGACTAGAAGTATGGGTATACGTTGTTCCGCCGAAGACAACACGAATTCGAGTTGGCTCACTCACTTAATGGGGAAAGTGAATGTCGCACAATCACTTGCAAGCATCCCGAAAAATATGTGATTGTGCCCGTGTGCAGCTGTAGTAGGTGTCTTTTAGAGCAAATCGTCTTCTTTCTTGTCATTTTAATATTATTTTAAATGTTGCTTCTTAACATCATGAATACTTTTAAAACTATGTTTATATCAGATTTACTATTGGGTTTGAAACTTTAAATTCTTTGCGTCTCATTTAGTCTACGAGACGTCCCTATGGTCATTGCTCATTGCTCATTGCAAAAACTTATCATCTAACCAAAAGTGTTGGGAAAAGAATAAATATTGTCAAATACTCATTAAATGACTTTATTGTCATGGTAAAAAAACTCAATCACATACAGATCTAAATTTGTGACTAACTTGAGACTCTACTTTTATTTTTGGGTATTATTAGATGCATAGTACTTGACGTGCAGCCCACACATGCACATTAATCCACTAAGCACGCTCATTAGCATACTTCTTAGTAATGACTATGGGCTAGTGCACGTTTATGTAACAAAAATCAATGAAAAAGAAAAAAATAAAAATAATATATCATGAGTGAACATGTTGGTAGAATACATAACTGAAGAAGTAATACATGACTATATGAATATACAACATGCATAAGGTCTAATAATTAAAACCATTAGTTAGTGAAATGATGCATATAAATATTTTCATACATTTCATAATTTTAACTTCTCATCAGACATGAATTCATAGCTACGTGTTAAGTATGCTCAAACAATTCATTCGCATAATCCGTACCATCCCAACTGCAAGTCCACTCGCCTTGATAAGATTAACATAACATGCTTCTACACTCATGTTAGCGGACCGTCACATAAGTTCAATCCCATTCAAAACAATCGAGAAATTGTTCTTAAAGCCTCATCATAGAGCTACAACCACCTAATTCATATAAACATCGGTGAGCAATACCATTGAATAAACTAAACAAACTCAAACGGATGAATTGAACATGAAGCGGCTAATCGAGTCAATTGACAATAGAATGAGTGAGTTGTGCATCTAGGCGCTAAGCCTCTATGTAGTGGGCTTGGCCTGATGTCTGGTGGACATGGGTTGAACCTCTGGGTTTGGGTTGGTATTGGCTGAGTAGGGATCGCGAGCTTGGGCTTAGCTAGGATGATGGTCGATGTGTTGAGCTGTTGAGAACGTGTTGGCTTGGAAAGGCTAAATCTGGTTGCTAGATATCTTGAAGGTTGGATCTTGTAGGCTACTATGGGCTTCTTCTCCTTACTCCAGAATTCAAATTTTTACACGACAAAGCTCTAAGAATGGCAATGGACTTCCACCGTGGTTTTGTACGCCTCGTTAAACAACAAATTCAAATTTTTGAACTGTTATCAAAGCAAACTGTGATTGTACTCTACAATTGACATGGAAGGCCATTTTTTATGAAATAAATAGATTGATATGGTGTTTTATTCAGTCATAGCCACTTACTTAACTCAAGTAACTACAAGACCCGGAAGCCTTGAAACTGACAGCAATCAAATATAAATACATTATGCCTACAGTTTATGGTGTTTTATTCAGATCACCAAATCAAATTTTCACCACAGATAACCAAAAAACAAAGAAAGAACTAACCTTGAACTCAAAATATAATATCCTCATCCTTCTCACCAGCTGCAGACAATAGACTGTAAGCTGAACTTATGGAGACGCCCTTCTGCAATGACACCTTCTCAGCAAGCTGTTCCTCGGCATATAGCTTGGCGTTGGCTCGTTGTCTCTCGATTTCCCTTCTCTTATAACCCTGAATCTTTTTCAGTCTGAAGAAATCTTCCCTTTCTAGCTCGTCCAGTTCTCCCTTGATGTAACTTATAGTATTCTCTATCCTTGGCTTCACCACATTCTCCAGAGCGTTAACCCTGCGGTTTGTGGTTTTAATTGCCTCGTCAAGAGTCAAAAATGACGTCTGAAGTGAAGCAAGCTCAACAAGAACCTCAATTGCTTTTACATACGCACCACGACATAGCTGGATCTGTTGTCCACCCCTGGCTAACCCTGTGAGATCATTTTTGGTCTCCCCATCCGAATAATGTTCGAATTTCGGGAGTTTTACACCAGCAATGTTGTCCTGCCGAGATCGAATCTTAATAGCTGCATTTTGGACATTCTCTAGGACAATGTGCTTGATGTTGTCACCAGCAACATATTTCGCTTCAGTAAGAGAAAATGAAGATGTCTTCATGACTTCTCCCATTGATTCCTTAGCTGAGACAATCTTCTTGAGTATCTGACGGAACTGAACAGTCAAAGCATCACTCTTCTTCTTGAGGAGAGCATGACCTCTGGTTGCACCAATAAGACGAGCTTTCATCGCTCCAAGCATTGTAACTGTTGGAACTACATTCAAACGCTGGGTTTGGCCCGACATCTTTTTCAATATCTAACCACAAGAAGACAGAGCAACAAGGTTGCTATCAGGGAAATATAACACAATCACTTGCAATGTATAGTTGCATGAAAGTAAAAGTCAGCACACTTGGGTCAAATTCAGAACATCCTGACTGTAACAATGAATCAATTATGCAATGAACGAAATTTAACCACTAAAGTAAAACAAGTGAGAAAGATAAATAAGCTCTTAGCTGCTACTAAACCACTAAAAAAACGTCATCAGAAGTCCATCATATGTCCTCCTTAGCACCATCAAAGTCACAAGGTTTGTAGTCATTTGCTGTTTGCAAGGAGGGTCGGGACATGAATACCTAACAAGTAAGCCCACCGAAGGAGTGATGCACAACTGTCATGTGATGTCACAAAAAATTAAGTCACACAAGATGCTCCTTAAATACCATATAAATAGTCGATCATAACAAAAAACCCCAACACCACAAGTGACATATCATCCCTTGATTGATATGAATCCAACCACTAATCCATTGCATGTACTCGAAGGAACAATGATAAGAAGCAAGGCAAAGAAGATTTGTAACAGCCCAAGCCCACCGCTAATAGATATTGTCCTCTTTGGGCTTTCCCTTTCGGGCTTCCCCTCAAGGTTTTTAAAAAGCGTATGCTAGGAAGAGGTTTTCACACCCTTATAAAAATGCCTCGTTTTCCTCTCCAATCGATGTGGGATCACACAAGATTTAAGTATCAAATCAAGAAAAGAATGGAGTGAGTCGTCTTGGGATCTAAGAGTGACCATCATAGATTCCAAGTTCGATCTAAGTTATTCATCCTTCTAACTAGCTCTTGGTTGAAATCATTCATTAAGTTCTCTTTTATGTGTGAAATTTTGCAAGGATCCTAGAAGGATCTCTAACTTTGAAAAACCCAGTATTGTTGGCGCTTATCATTGACCATATGACCAAAGGCGTTGATATTCACCTGTAATCCCTTCTTTCCTCACATACGGATTCTATACCCGTGCACCACATATGCTTTTCACATTACATCTAACATGTATAGCCTACCCTATGCTTTTCAATCATGAAACGTGTAGTTTTTCAATGTTTACACAAAAAACACAACCCCAACAACTAAAGAGCCACATAACATAGGTCAACAAGTTTCTCTAAGGAATGTTCTCACAATTGTATTAAACCCATTCATCAATCACATGAAATTTTGAGCATGATAATTACCCAAGCCGAAGTTCACATAGCAACACATGAAATTTTCAGCAGGCTTTTCCAATACATATCATCATTCAAGGCAATTGAAATAGTGCATATCAAATTCCAATCAGTGGTTTACTTACTGTCCCAAGTGCTCCTAAAATCGGATCGAACCGATACTAAACCGAAGTAATTAAAAAAGAGCTTAAGGAAGTAGAATAAAGAGGTTTCGGCAATAAAATTGTAGATTCAGATCTAAAGAGGATCCCAGTTCAGATCCGGTTTGTGCGAATCGAGGGGGAAAGAATACTAAGGTGTTGTCCAAAGAGGAGAAAAGATAGGTAATAAATGAGAAGAAAACTTAAGGTTTTAAACTCCATTTGAGAGAATTGATTAAGGACCCAATTCATGAAATCATAAGGAAAACTCCCTTTCTTCAAACCGAAACCAAAACCAAAAAAATCTCAAAATGTAAGCGAACACCCAACAATGGTAAATTAAGTAAAACGAGCAGGCAAAAGGAGAATTAAAGAAGAAGCTAACCTGCGGCCGAGAGGGAGAAATGGAGAAGAAGGAAAGGGGAAAAGTAAAAGGAAAATGGTGCAGACGGTGTGCGTGGGCGGGGCGGCGGCCGGGGCGGTGGCCGGTGGCGTGGCAGTGGGAGGGAAAAGAGAGGAAAGGGTGAGAAATGGGAAGGATTTTGGTTTTCTGATTACTTAAATATTTATAAATATATTCACAATAAACATAATGGAAATGACAGAGGTTCTTATTTTCCACATTATTAATATATATATATATATATATTATTTAGCTTATAATATTTGGTGACTAATATTTTTTATTACAATACATACTGTATTATTAAAATTAATTTTCATATAAAGTTTTAATTAACTCATATTGATTTAATGATTCTAAAAATACCAAACCTATTGATGAACACAAATCTAAATATTTTCCATCCTTTCATAAAATTTTAAGAAAACACACTCATCCCTATCTATACCACAAATAAGATACGCATTAGTACAATTGTATAAAGTGTTAGACAAACACGACTATCTACAATAATAAGCTCTCATAGTTTTGCTTTGGGCTTGGGCTTCTCCAATGGAGATTGTATTTCTTGATTATAAACCTATAAGCATTCCTTAAATTAATCGATGTGGGACTTTCATCATCCAACGTAAAGAACTAAGAGGATGAAAAAATCATTACAACTATAGCCTTTAATCACAATAGTACAATTGTACAAAGCTAAAGCCAACTCTACCCATCACTATCAAAATAAAAATAAAAAATGAAAATGTAAAGAATTTATATGTAACAAAATAACACAGTGATGTTCAAAACAAAAAAACACACATACAAACTATATAACACAATACGTCAACAACTCAACAGTTTTTCAAATGCATTCTGCTGCACCCGCTTTGAATCATGAAAGTTCACCTGGAATTATTTTTATTTTAGCCAAACGGAGAAGGTACAGGTTCTGCAAGAGCATCTGATCTTTTTATGCTTCCCATGCCACAGATAATGCATCCAGGAGAAGTTAGAGCTGAGAATTTAGCTCCACATAGATCGCATACATCATACCCAATGGTTGACAGTCGGCTGAGCGTGGCAGCACAGAACATAGAGGGATCTTCCATTGGATCAATGGACTTATTCATTAAACCCCTTTGAACACAAATGTCAATGAGGCTCCTCAATTCAGCTTGCTTACTTGCAGGAGCTTTGGAGAAGAGAAGTTCAAGCATCTGTTTAGAATAAGAGTAATTCTGAACCTCCATATTCCGTTTTATGGCAGTTCGAATGCAATTTATTCGATGCTTTGCCAGAAGAGGCAAAGAACCCAGATGGCGTGATAGCCTGCCCATCTCGTCTTTCGCACTCAGTGCACTTGGACCTTGGACTTTTTGTAATCGTCCGATTTCCTGCAGAAAATGAAATTAATCATGGTCTGGGATGCTATAACATTAATAGTCATTTGCTTTTATTTCCATGGAAAATTTTCTTCGCTCAAATGAATATTGAATATTGTATGATAGCCTTTGGTGGAGATTGTTCCAACAGAGACGCTCCCAAACAAATTTGGGACACTTTACTGAACGCGGAAGGAATTGGAGACTTGGAAGGGAAATAAGGCAAAGGAGGAGCTAGCCAAAATTTTAATCGCCAGAAAACAATTAGGGTACTGAAGGACCTCAGAAATCATTTATATACAGAATAAAAATAACAGTTACCTGAAGAAGAGTAACAGCTATCTTGTACTGTGCACATATGGTTGCTTGAGCTTTAATATCAGCTTCACGAGAATGGTCTTTGGCAAGTGCAAGAAAAGCTTCATCAAAGCACGACAAAGCATCTGAAAGATGATTCTGTTCTAGATGCGCTAGCCCAGTCTTGAAGCATACTGAAGCTGCAGCGCCACGGGGAACCTGCATTAGCAAATTAAGGTTGAAATTGATTAAGAAGAAAGAAACTATGACAATAGATGAAACGCAACTGTTAGAGCTAGAGAAGAAGGATGGCGATGAACATAATGGAGCATATAAACAATTGTAGATTTGTGAACCTGTCCAGGTCGCACAGAAGTTGCTTGAGGTGGAGGAGGCTTTCCAGAATCAACAGAATTTGGAACTCCTAGGACACTGAGATCAAGAGGCTGTGAGGGAAGTGAAGGCTGAGCTGGCTGAACTGGCTGAACTGAAGGCAGTATGGCAGAAGCCTGACCCAAGGTCTGTGGTGGTACCCCACCATCAGGTAGTCCGATTGATTCAAATGGCACAGCTGGTTGCTGGGTGACTTGAGGGGGAACACCACCATCTGGAAGGTCAACATTAACTCCAGGTGCATTAACATGGTTGGAAGAGACCTTGTTGGTCTGAACTCCACGGGAAGAAGGATCTAACTGTGAAAGGTAAGTACCAGGAGGAGGAAGGGAAGCTGCAATCTGAAAAGAAGGAATTGTATTTTGGAAAAAGTCCTCTGGAATGGGTCTGGCCGCAACTCCTACACCCGTGGTGCCCTGGGATGGAGGCTGCAACACTGGTACTGGTGGCGGCATCAATGAATTGGTACCAAAAGGATCAGACGGGGCAGCAGAAACGATTGGAGCTGTTAAAGCAGCTGTAGCAGGAGGTTGGGATAAATTTTGCACAAGGTCCTGGGTGTTACCAGTCAAAGACTTGGTTCTGCTAAAGGGTGGACCAAATCCTTCCCCAAGTTTAAATTGCATTGTAGCTTCTTTAATCTTTTTCACATCAACCGTTGGAGATGTAACTGGTTTATCTCGTATTCTAATATGTAGCTTTCGAGCTTTTGAAACATTCTCTTCATCACTACTGCTCCCATCATTAGCCGTACCGTACATAGTTTTCTTGAATTCTTCTTCTGCTTTAGTTTGTTCATCTGCAGATGTTGAACTGGAAGATTGTTTCATAAGAGTTTCCAATCCCATCAAGTTATCCTTTGGCTCACCATCAGAAGATGCTTTGGATTTGTTGGAAATGGATTTTGCTAAAGGTGTTTGGAGCCCAGAGGACTTATCAACACTTCCACCAGCAGGTGTAAAAGATTTGACCAGGCTGTCCTCACTGACTACTTCAACAATATTGCCTCTACCTTTAACTGAGCCAAGGTGAACACCAATATGATCAGCAACAATTGAAGGTATAGAACCATCGTCAGTTTTCATATATGGCAACACTTCTGCAGCCAGTTCCCATTGAGGTATAGCCTTCAAATTGGTAGGAGTTTTGATTTCCCAGTTTCCACCACCCCATTCTGGACCTTTGGGAACCATACTCTCAGCAGCAAAATTAGCAAAAATTCCTTGTGTCCATCCTGTAGAGCGGACTCTTAAAATTCGTTCACAATATCGCCTCAGTTCAGAATCTGTGCCATCCTCTTCCAATTTTTGAGCTAAACGACGTAATGCACTGGGATTAAGGTGGCAGATAAACAAATCGAGTATGCTTTCATTGTCTGCTATAACTTCAAAAGTTTCTTTGGCACTATCGAACTGACCAAACCTGCAAGCTTAACTCAGTTACTACAGCAGTAAAAAGGAATTTTCACAAGTTCCAATAGAGTAACGAGGGAACCACAATTCGATTTCTTTAAGAAGCATTTAAAGCAGAATATGACCAAAAGCGACCAAGCCTTCTCGGTAGAAAATGAATTCAAACAATAGGATAAATATAAGCAAAGAAGATAAGATTAAAGAAAACAAAATCCAAAAGGAAGAATGCTAATGCAGACCCAGTACTAAGAAACAATGAATTTTTAGGTACTGAATCAACATCTTCTGCCCGCAACAAAGAAAACAAAAACAGAAATATGATCTTATCTGCATACTTGATACATGCGTAACCCAACTGGCGGAATCGATGGAACAAATGAGAGGTTGGAGGGCATCTTGGGTAATCTCTAGAACGTAAGAATTCGTCCTTTAAAACGGATAAAGCAGTAGAAAAACGAAGGGCTTTAATAGCATAAATACCCCGCAACACCTGAGTTCAGTGAGCAACAGATGAAGAAAGTTATCGATTAAAAAAAGATAGGTTTGGAAAGTACAATGGAAGATAGAAAATAAAGAATCATCCATCACTCACCTGAGTAAACTGTGGACCAGCTTGGGACAAGGACACTGCAAGATCTCCACAGACAGGAGGACCACCAGCTAAAATATCAAGTGACCTTGGAGTGATACGCAAGCTGTCAAATCTTCATGGTGAAACAAGAAAAGTAAGATTTCATTACTTCAGATGAATTCAACACATAAGGTAATAAAATGCATTAGAAAAACATATTGTATTATATATAAGATCTTATTTAGGCTCTAAAATCAAGAAGACTGCATATTCTGGAGAACCAGAAATATCTGCAGATGTGAAGAAGAAAACCTTGAAGTAATTTGATATAATATTTCTGAAAGATCAAGCTTCTGCTCAAATCGTTGTTGCATTGTAGCAAAACCAATTAAAAGAGGTTCAAGAAGTCCAACAAGACAACTCCTTATCTCCACTCCCTTCTTCTGTCTGGGGTTTATGTCTGTTGGATTTGCAAGCAATAACCGATCATTCAAAGCACCAGCAAGAACTGCACAGAAGTCACACCTTTGCTGGTCAGACTTATACAAGGAAAGTACTATATTTCTGACTATTACATAATTGACAAAAAAATTAAAAAGTATAGTAAGGCGCAGAATAATATGCAGTCAGAATAAAGAAAATCAACACCTACATTGTGAAACGCACCTGCATAAGGCATACTGATCGAAAGAATGGTCCTCACTTTGCCATCCCAGCCAAGCACACTAATCGCTGTTGCTGTAGAAAAGACAAGCGCAGGTCCAATCCACAGCAGGGACCGATAGTGCACATTAGTTAAGTGTTCAACCATGTTCTTTTGACCAGAAAGGTTCACAATTCATGGACTAAGATCCAAGTGTTATAAAAGGCTTAACTCATGTTTTGAGAATATATTGCAATATTCATTAATATTATTTATAATGGTACAAATTTCCGAGAAGTTACAGAATTTAGGTAAATACGAATGGTCCTACTTTATTTTCCCCCTAACTCTTAACTTGGTTTCAAGTTCTATTGCTTGCCAAAAACAGTTTGATTATTCCCAAAAAAAACACTCAGCTAGATGTATGACTTTCTGTTGCATCACAATAGGTAAAAACAAATGAGC